TCGATATAACTTTTTCCAACATTAAAAGGCGCACTTTCCCTTTCCCTATTGCAGCGAGAGAAAAATTAGGGTTCGTTTTTCATTCCCCGACTCGATTTCAGCGATTGAGAGTGATTAGGGTCTTTGTTTCAACGATGATTTCAGCGATTGAGAGTGAGAGATTCAAGCCTCCTTCCCCTAAGCGTCTCAAATCAGAGAAGCCGTCCAGATTTAAATTCGATCCAGAGGATCTTCGACGTTTTGAGGAAGAGTGGGGAAAGAGCGAGGTTTGTGAAATCTCTCTGTTTTGCCCAAAAGTTTTGATTTTTATGGTTATGGGTTTTTCATGTTTGGTTTTTTATCTTCAGGGTTTTGATGTCGACTTGTCAAAACTCCGTAACACATTCAGTTGCGGATCTGTAGATCTCGAAGACGATGACTTTGTTGAACCTGATTCCGAAGATGAGACCAACAGAGATTGGCTCAACACGTTGTGTAAGATGGCTGTCTCTTACTACAAGGAGAAGACGGTTAGTAAATTAAAAAGACAAACTTTTTTTCTGCTCTTGTTTGTTTGATGAAGGAACTTATGTTGTTGGTTAGGATATAAGGTTGGAATTTTTCAAGGCTTTGAGAGCAAATTATCACCCATCTGCTGCAATCACACTCTACATTACATTCGAAGCCAATGATCCTTTAGATGGTAATCAGACAAAACTGTATCAAGCTGTTGTTCGTTACTTGCCCGTAAACATTGAAGTAATTTCTTGCAGGCCTCGACCATGATGAGTTTATAGAGGTACTAATTAGCTACATTGGCTCCTCATTATGTTTAGCTTTGAATTGGCGCCTCATTATGTTTAGATTTGAATATTAAAGCATAGTTTGTTATGGTTTCTGCAGTATTCCACCGGCGAGTTTATGCATCTATCTATCTATGAATGGGAAGCAAAAGTGTTAAACTTGTTCCTTGAACTTCTATGTGTGGACTTTAAGTTGTATCGTTATGGCTCTTATGCCAAATTGTACTTGTTGGTTTCTCGGGTGGTTTAAGTGTTGTTGCGACTAAGTCAGTAATAATTCCATGAACTGCTTAGAGCAGGTCCATTGGTGTGTTGTAAGAGGTGTTCTAAACTTAAAGTGGCCCAAAAATAAATCAGAAATGAAATAAAAGCCCAGAACATGTTCTCATAGGAGACATTTGAGAACTGTCCAGAACACATACGTGGCGTTCAACCATTGGTTCGGATTAAAAAAAAAAAATTGAATCGACAGACTTTGTTTTCTCCGCTTTGAACCGACGACGATGAAAAAAATCTTCACACTCGCGA